AATTTTTTTTTTTTTTTTTTTTTTTTTTTGGGTGGAAAAAAAATAAATTTATTGTTTAAATAAAAAAAAAAAAAATAATTAAAATTAAAATAAGAAAAAAAAAAAAAAAAAAAAAATATCGAAAATTTAAAAAGGACACAATGTTAAAGAAATATGTAATATGATAAATTAAGAAGTTAAAAATTTTAGACATTTTCAGATAAGTATAATGTTCTGCAAACATTTCTTGTTTTAAACTTTAATTAATGTATACTTTCTCTCTTTGCATAGATTTTATTATGAAAATATAAAACCAAATATGATTTTATTGTCTATAAAAAAGGCAGGTGTCTGAGGTACTCAAGCAATTTTTTACAAGTTTATGAAGCATAATATCATTAAACTTCTCTAAATGCATTAAGACCAAATCATATATAAAAATTGAGTTTGATGCTGCTTACTTTACTGACAACCATTTTACTAAAAGTTCATTTAGGCAACATTACACAAGATTAGAGTTAGCATTTGATTAGTTGCATGATGTTAGCTAAATAAGCTATTAGTAAAATGATTGTCAATGAAGTAATGCAAATCTGTGTCAAACATGTATTTAAAAAGGTATTGCATTTAAAGAAATGAAAATCTACAAGTTGAACTTAAGAAAGATGCCAAATTTTGGAGAAAGATTCTATTTGGTTTCAAGTTAGTTTATATTATACCATATGCTTGCACACAATTATATTCAAAAAGTTATCATAAGTGCATAATAAGTTAAAGTAATTTCAGATATCAATAATCATATATATCTTTATTACTTTAGACATAATTCTTAAATTTTCAATAAAATAAAGTAATAAATAAAAACTATTTATATAAAACTCTTATAAGATAATGAATTAACTAATATTACTTCTTATTATTAATTTTATTAATAATTCTATTATTTTTATAATAAGCAATTTATAATTACAAACTTTTTTTTTGATAACTAATAAGGACAATAAAAATGTATTTGATAGCATCTTTGCTGAAACCCATAGTAAATTGGAATGCTTAAACAATAAAATCTCTAAACTTCAAGACATTTATTTAACTAATAATGATTTGGATAAGAAGTCTGATAATAAAGCTAATGAATTTATTGATAACAAAGCTTCTTCAGAATCATTAGTCATATATATTGATAATTTTTTTACAGCTAATCAAATTAAATGTTTTTATAAAATATATATGCTCTATTCAATACATATAGTAATAAAAGATAAAAAAATTCATGATAAGAGATTAGATAAGCAAGATAATAATGCATTTTTGGTGAAGTTGCAACAATTCGTTTGTTGTATCAAAAGATGTTTTTCAAATATTAATCCTTAGGCAGCACTTAAAAGATTTCAAGAAATGAAAGCATTAATACAAAATAAATTGAGTTTATATTTTCTTAAAATAATTAATATCAGTATGCATACTATGAAATTCAAAAATACAACACCAAAAGCATATTTGACAACAAACTATAAATTTAAAAATATTATGATTTGCCAAAAAGCTTGGTATACAATTTATGACATTCAAAAAAGATGATGAGAGGCTTTACGAATTTATTATCAAAATTTTGGTCTTAAACCAAAAATTCATAGTTTAACCAAATGTGTTAGTAATCATGCAATTTTCTTTTTAACTATCTTAAATATACTTAAATTTATTGCAAATTTTATTAATCAACATGGACTCCTATCACCTGATAAGCAATTAACAATTATTATAATGCACAGATTATAACACCCTGCATATAAATATTATAGTATTAGTATTACAATTAGCATTAGTTAGTATCATGATGTTTATTTTTTACTTACTTTTTACTAGTTAAGATAAATTATTATAAGGCTTTAAAATCTAATAAAAACAAGCACTTACACAAAATACTAAAAATTTTGTATTTAAATATATATATATATAATTGATAATTAACTTTTCGATATAAGAAAAACCAATATATAATAAATCCACTTGATATAAGAGTTATTAATAAACTCTCGATATAAGAAAGTTTTGTAAATTGTTATTATCGACCTGACTACCTTTCTTATATTAAGTATTATGAGTACTTTTCAATAAAGTATATTTTGGTTGTACTATATTACTAAGATAATTAAATTTTTAGGGTGCAATTTTTAGAACAATATCTGTAAGATCATTTATTTATCTATATATGAAAGCAAAAGGTTTTTGTACTGAATTTATAATAATCAATAACAAAATGAAATAAATGAAGTTAGTTTATCAAGTTTGAATATATTTGAAAAAGGTATCTTCTTAGAATTCAATTTATGATATTATGCAATGACTTATGCATGCTCTGTAAAAAAAAACAATTTAGAGCAAAGTATTAGAATAGAGATGAAATATTACAAAAATTAAATAAATAGACCAATTATTATAATTGAGCATATTTAGAATACAAAAACTATAGATAACAATTTGAATTTAATTAATTCTATATACTATATATATAACTTATAACTAGAATTCATCTTACTTTACTGACAGTCATTTCACTAACAGCTAACATTACGCTACTAAAATATATATATACCTGCAGCTAATTAAATACTAACTCTAACTCTATGTTATATTAGCCAAATGAACTTTTAGTAAAATGATTGTTAATGAAGTAAGCAGTATCTATATAACTAATTTATATTTATTATAAATTTTTAGAGATTGTATTTTTAAATCTAAAATAGTTTTAACTTCCTTAACTAATCTTTTATGACTTGAAATTCCAAATTTAATCAATATTGAAAATCATATTTCATGAGATTTTGCAGAGAATATATATATTTCCTATTCTATACAACAAGAAGATACTGTTTATTTTAAGTCACTTTATAAGGTTGAAGTATTTGGCATATATGAGAAAGCCATACCATGACAGATAATTAATTGTACAGATAATTTTACAAGTATAGTCAGACTTTCTAAATATAACCTCTCTAAATGTATGTCTTATGAAAAACCTTCCTAAATGTATGTCTTTTCTTAAGCTCAACTAATATAATATAGATTTTTACTTCTTAAATATAATACTTCTTTAAATATATGTTTGACTCAATTTTTATATATAGTCCTATTGCAATGTATTTAGAGAGGTCTGACTGTATATTATTATTGCTTATTGATTATATATAGAACATTAGACAAAATTAAATTTCAGTATATTAGATAGTACATTTAGTGATCCTAACCAGTTAACTAAATAACTGCATTATCTTTTTTTTTAAATAACCTTAGTATTAGTTAATTAGTTAATAATTAGCTGATTAATATTTACATAGTTAGGATCACTAAGTATATTTCAAATACTATAATTTAATAATATGATTTAAAAGACAAATATTTCAATTCATAATCTAACAAATTCAGATAGATTTAACAATTCAGATTAAAGTGAATATTCTTATCTTTTAATTTTAAATAAATAGATCTGTAATATATAATTAGGTTATGAATAATTATAAACTTCATTGTATTTATTTTTAATATGTCTTTTACAATAATTAGTAATTGCATGATATAGTTAACATTAAAATCAAGAAATGAAATATATATATGAAGCAATTTAATTAGTAAAGATAACAAATTGCAAGAAATTGCAGTTTAAACCAACCTTAGAGCATTAGTAAAAAATTTTAGAAAGAAAATTTTACCTATAACTAATAGACTAACTCTTACTTAATCCTAATGTTAAGTTGTCCTAATCCTAAAGTTTATTAAAAAATATTTTTTTAATGAATTCAAATTTACTAATTAAATTGAATTTATTCAGATCTGAATTATCAACTAGATAGATAAAAGAGGATTTGAATTTAATTCGAATAGCCTTTGACAAATAGAATTAAAACACTATATATCTATTAAATCACATGTTATACTTTACTAGCATTTGACATACTTTAGAGCCACTCTAGGCTGAACTTAATTCAGATTGAGTAGCTTAAAAATATAATTATAAATTTGGAGTAATCTAGAGCAGGTCTGAAGCAGTCTGAAGTAAATTTAATAGAGTGAATTGAAAATTAGATCAATCTAACCTATTAGCAACTCTATTTGAAGTATATTCTATACAAACTTATGATTTTATTTATTACAGTTTTGTGCAAGTTATATAAATTAATATTATATTTCAGATAATAAATAATTTTCAGTAATTGATGAATTCATTAATTTGAAAGCTTTTATCAAATGATTCACACGATATCTTGTATAAGGTATATGGAATGCTTGTTTATCTCATACATAGTATATTTCTAATTTGAAGCATATATTAAGGGTGCTCTCAAGCACCTAAATTAATAGATCAGAGCTCAATTTTAATTAGTAGAAAATAATTTGAACGATCAATTAAGCTTGTTATTGCAATAAAAAAAAAGATGGTTGAGACTATCATAGAGTTGTGTTTATTGGCTAAAATTTAAAATCTGCATTTTCTACTATAAATCTTCAGTAAAATTGCTGTAAGATTACTTAATTAATTATAATGCTTGTGCACAATCTTGTTTACTAGTCAGTCATATTAAGGAAGATGCTTAAGAGCACCCTAAATCATTTAATTTTGATTCAATGCTAAGTTCTTAATTAAAAAACTTGTATTTAAGATTTGCAATATTTTATTTTTTTAGATTAATTATCTTATTCAGAAACACCAAAGTATTAAAAAAGGTACAAATACAGTAATATCTCTAGTTCATCACTATTTTGCTATATATGACCTTGGTAAAAATCAGGTTACTATTCATACAGACAATTGCATAAGCCAAAATAAGAACAATACAATGATTAAATACTTGGTTTAGTAGATAATGAGTAGTCTGTATAACAAAATTACCTATAGTTTTATAGTTCCTAGTTATACAAAGTTTGGACCAGATAGGTTTTTTAGACTATTCAAATTAAAACTTAGAAATTTTGAAATAGATAATTTAGAGGATTTAATGCATGTTGTTAAACAGTTCATAACAAACAGATATAATAAGGCAGATACAGTTGTTGATTCTAATAAAAATAGAAGAGTTATGTTTTATAACTAAAATTAATTTTTAGATCAGTTTTTTACTACAGTTCTGTCTATTCTTATACAATATTATTTTATTATATCTTGTGAATATTCAAAAAAAGTAAAAATTCAAAAGTTATATAATAGTAATAAAACTAAAATTCAAATTACACAGGTTTCATTAATTTCAAAAACTAAAAATAGTAAATTAGTTTTTTCAAATACAATTACTTCACATAAAATCAATTTAGAATGACATAGTATTTGCATAATAAAGTAGCAAAATATATTCAAAATCCTGCAAAGTGAAAAATTTATTGTGCAATGCCCAATCAACTCAAATCAATAAAAACATGAAATGATAATGGTACATTTTATTTAAAAGTTTAAAATTAACAATTTTTTTTAATGTGAAATTGCTATAATATAAATAGGCCCAAGTATCCACTTTATACTATTAGTAATAAAAGTATATCTTAACTTTATATCCAAGAACAAAAAAAAATTCATGAAATTGTTATAGCAATAACAAATGTTTTAGAAGTAGCAAACTGCATAGACCATCATATAATATTGGCAATACATTTGGCTGCTATTCAAATTTCAAAAATAAAATAGTACTGTATTTTATACTAAAAATAAAGTAAATATAATTAATTATAACTTTAAAAGCTAAAATTATGTACTTATTTGATTATTAACACAGCCTGAAATAGAAATTCATAAATTAAAGCTCTATTTTGAATTCTAATCATAAAGCATTTAATGAGCTTACAATTTAACTTAAAAATAACTTATTCTAGAGTTTATTAGAAAAAGTTCATTATACTCAGTGATTGTAGCTTTTTTTAATCATCTTGGTAATTGCTTGATTTGTTCATTCTTCATAGTTAGCTTTTTAATCAAGCTTTTTTTAAAGAATTTAGATTTAAATAAAAAACTAACCTTTTTGAAGGCTTATAAAAAATACCTAATAGTTAAATTATTTATTATGTGATCTTAAAAGTAAAAAAAACTTGAAGTTTGAAAAAATAGTAATTACGTAAAACCAATAAAGACTAAAAATAATAAAAATTATATTAAAACTAAAGTGCTAATATTAAAAAAGATGTGTTAGTAAAAATGTAACAAATCTATTAGATAGATTTGTACTTTTTTTTATTAACTCAGTAATGATCAGTATGTCTAGAATTTGAATTAGAATTTTAATTCAGATTTGGCTAGTTTGTTTCAGATTTTATCCAAATTTATATAACACAATACAAAAACTTGATTTTCTCAAAATAGTAATTTATCTGATTTGTTTCTTTTTTATTGA